CTGCTACCTCTTTACTCCATGTTACCTTTTAATTTCTGATTGCTCAGGCTCCTCCGGCTGATCCACTGAAGAGTGGGACAGATGTGGGAAGCTCCCCAGCAGCTTCAGCTGTAAAAACAGCAGCAGAGAAATCGCTGAGCTCCTCTGCTACATCCTCATCATGCCCGTATTACCCTTTTATACCCTTATCATCAGCACTCCCACTGATTTTCTAGCTGCCTTTGTGGCTTTGATATATTTAAAGAGCCTTTTACCAGCAGTTAGAGCATCCCTTGCAAGGCAACTTATGTATTCTTATTTTTAGCCCTAGTTGTTTCCTGTTTAATTGTGACCTGGCATGTTTTATGGTCTTCCCTGTTCTTAGACCACTTTGGGCTTTTAGGGTTGGGTTTGGGGATTTTTTTGACTAGTTGCTGCAAAAATCAGTATCTTCAGCTTACACCCCCAAAAGCTAGGAGAAGCCAGTTTAATCCTCCTGGGAACTTTTGATAAGCAAAGCTGCTCCATCCGCAAACACTAGACACAAGGCTTAAAAACAGAGAGCGTTACTGGGTTAAAAATAAGGGGGAGGGTGGGAAACGGGGAAAAAATAGCAACTGATGACTTGGCAGCTGCTGAAACTGACAAATGACAGTCCTCTGCTCACAGGAGTGGCAGGTGAGTAAGTCAGTGCTAGGCTTGCCTCGCTTGCCTTTCTGCAGTTTGTGGTCCTGGGCTAATGAACCCCAAATTCCAGGCAGGATCCTCTGTCCCTGGGTTGTCCTGGGGTCCAGCCACCCTCCTAAACCTGGGATGAGGCCGAGGTGGTCTCCCCAGATCCAGCCCGGGACAATGATGCTCACTGGGACATCTGCCTGAATCCCTGCAGCCCTTGTCTGAGTTTCCCTAAAAGCTCTCCATACCGAGGGTTTCTGTTGAGGAACCCGTTCCTAGCGAGCAGGCGAGCACTTCTTCCTAGAGGGGAGGCTGCTTTTCCCTTACCCCTGTTCCTTCTGTTGGAAGGAATGCTATTGTTCACTGTGGAAATGACAGACCCCCAAAGTCAAAGGAAGTACACAAGAAGGGAGAAGTCCAGCCCTCAGGTCTGCTGTGTTACCTTCATTGCTTGCTCTTACTTGCTTATGTCTCCAGCCTGGCGCATCATCACATGCAGGATCTGTGTAAAAACAGTCTCCTAAAGGAAATAAGGGCTGGTTTTCATCAGCAGGTAACCAGAAAATGCAAAATCCTTCCTGCTTTCAGGTCTGAAAGGTGTTGCCTTTCACGTGCAAGTTTGGATGCTGGGCTTTGCTGGGGAGCGCGTGGATGCAGCGCTTTGTTGTTGAGGCTGGTTTCAGGCATGAGCAGTGCAGACAGCACAAGACCTGTCAGGCCTGATTAAGCCCGTCCTTACCCCACTGTCCCATCATGTTAATGTGGGACAGCTCGCTAAGGCAGCTGCCCAGACCCAGGCTCTTACCCCACAGCCATCCACGGCACCGTACCCCTCCCCTACCACCCCACATCACTTAAATATGCTCAGGTGTAGCCAGATAATGAGTGGCATGTGACTTAAGTGATCCCAACACCTCCATACAAGTATGTGCTATGACCATGCAAACCTCTGTCCCAGCTCCTGTAGCATTACTTAGCACACCCCGCGCAGAGCTGCCAAGCAACCTCTCTCGTGAGATTTTTGGTCAGGACAGAAGTAGGTGGCAGACTGGAGTGGCACCGTCTTGCCACCTCCTCTGCGGGTCGTGTACCAGTAGGACACCCTGTGTCTTGGGGCAGAAGACGGGTGGGAGATCCCAGGATGTGCAATGAGCCGTGGCAGCTCCCTGAAGCCTCTCACCCTGCCTGCAGGCACTGCCTCTCTCACACTGATGGGTGAGGGCCGCACTCTGCTCCGTTTCCCATGCCCAGTTGGATTCTGAAGGATGGGTAGCTGAAACAAATCATGAGCCAAGCTGCAACAGTCATAAAACACCACAAAGAGCTATTTTCCATGATCACATTTCCCAGCAGAATCACACATTGCTAACAGCCAAACAGCAGTGAAATATCTGCACATTTGCCCTTTCGGTACATAATTCCAGTCCAGATAAAATAGCTGTAGCAGCCTTTGAAATGCTAAAGAGTAGCAGGCTTACGGTAGTATCTGATAGCCCCTCCCCAGCACAGGAGAAGTGAGAACGGGTTGCGGCTGCAGAAATTAGCTTTGAACTAGAGCAATAAAAACTCCTCTGCAGTTAAATGACGCAAACATTGGGCTATTTTTGCTGCTTTTATTGTCAATGACAGCAAAAGTCTAGATATCTCACCCTCAATAAAGTTTTACTGCATTAAAGTTTTGTTTGTCGTTGAGCTTTCAGCTGTATTTCCAACTCCTATTGCTTTGGGAAAGAACGAGATAACACTGAAAAGCCTTCTCGTGTGCCTCCCCAGCAGGCTCCTGTTACGTGTGTTTTAAGGATCCTCTGCAGTAAGCTGATGGAAACAGGCAAGTTACCTCCATAAAAGACCATGATGCATGGGCTGTTACTCTTGATGAAGAGAAATCTTGCTGCTAGACTCCACGTAACCCCAAGTTTCAGTCTGCCACACAAAGAAGGGGAGGAGAGGGTAGCAAAGCAAAAGCAATCAGCTGAACGAAGGAGAAGTCTACACTGAACTTCGCGGATTTTTGCCGTTTGTTCTGCCTGTATCCCACCCGTTTTTCAGTCCCTCACCCTGTACCAACTCCCCAGAGTGTTCTGCTGGCAGCGGAACCTTTTCCTGCTGCTGAAAAATCAGGCATGAGGGGAAAAGGAAAGGGTTTAGCAGAGGGATTAGAAGCAGGGAGGTCTCCTTCACCCAGGGAATGGTGGGGACATGCAGGACTCAAAGAAAAAGGAGGGAGCCACAGGCACGGGGGTCCATACATTAATGGAACTGCTGCGGAAGGGAGCTGGTCCCCTTTGTAGGGTTTTCTTAGCTGGAGGAAGGACGGGGCCTCTCTGTCTCTTGTGCTAAGGTAGCCACCAAGCCTTGCTTCACTCCTTACGGGTGAGTACTCTCAGAGGAAAAGTCAAGAAAGTAAGACCAGATCTCTCCCATCCTTTGAATCAGGTGTCGTGAACAGCTAAATCCAGCCAGCCCTGCTCGTGTGGAGGGAAGGTCACCTTGCACATCTTGAGCTGCGCACAGCCAGGGGAGGGTGGCTAAGGCCACCAGAACCTGGTCTCCTACAGACTCCTGCCAACGGCAGGGGGGGGGGCGCCCGGGGGGCGGCACAAAGGTGACAGGACTCAACCAGAAGAAAGAAATTCTGCCAGTTAACAGTGAAAACGCAGGAAAACAACAGAAAACATCTTGCATCCTTTCTCACCAGGCTACTTCAATGAACTGCTCATCGCAGGCGGTTAGAGAAAGCAGGGTCTATCTTCTTTTGCTACAGAAGCCACATGAGAAAGATCAGAACTGTTTAGTTCCCACATTTCACCTGCGTAACTGGCGAGTGGGAGCTGGTTTAGATCACCAAGAGCACTGGAACAACCCATCTGCATGCACATCCTCGTAACCTCCACAGCCACATGCAGCGTTCTCTACCACTGGCCCCAAAACTTGTCACCTAACTTGGAAGACACTCCTTTTTTTAGCTGTGTGTTATTGACAGACTGCTATGCACAAAGCTGCCATTATGGAGAGAACCTTGTCCGGCATTTTCAAAGGAGACCCAGCTGCACTAACTATGCAATTCCCATTGAAAATGATTACAGAAAACTGGTGCCAGCCCTACAACAGTAAACATTTTAGCTTCATTAAGACTTAACAATATTTCTGATTGGAACCTTTGAGTGAAAGCTGGGTGCTGATGCCACCAGCCTGTGCACACTTGTGTCTAAATTCTGCACAAGTTTCAGTATAAAATAGTCTCCGGAGTTGTAACACAAATGCTTATACCACTGGGCACCAATTTAAGAAAACCTTGGTACTGAGAAACAATAACGTTTAATAGAAAAAATTAATCTGCATATATAAAAACACAAAATATAACATGAAGTTAAATGATTTTTTAAACAAACTTAATCCATAAATATAGGTACATATCTGTACATATATATTTTATATATATAAGGAAATGTTAAGGCTAGTCAATAGAAAATGCATACAGCAAAATACAGTAAAATGTAGATTCCTTTACGCACAGATTTATTGAGTGTATGTAAGAAATGAAAAATAAAAAGGTTTAAGATGATTCAATCAAAATGTAAATAGGGTATGAGAAAAAAAAAGTTAACATTTTGCACAGGAGCTGAGAATGTAAAATCAATATAGTTATGCAAGATGGAGAATAATAGTGGTTGTTTGAGGATATAATTTCTTGCCATTGCATTGGGAAAGAAGGCTGCATAAAAGGTCAGACAAGTACCATTGTCTCACACAACAAATGTCAGCAGAGATCTGAACTGAATACTTTCAGATAGGAAATACCGGGGTGTTGAGGAGGGGAAGAAGACTGTATCTGTTACAGTAAAGGGAAACAGGTTAGATTCTCATGAAGAAGAGTTTTGATCTCACTTTGATCTGCCCAAAGCCATACAGGGTGCCTGTAGCTGAAACAGAGTGAGCACAAATACAGGCGAAGCTCTGGGTGCTGACTTTTTTCAGCATCACGTCTTGCCTGGACCACCTCCCAGCAGAACTGAAAACCAGCAGGGTTAAAATCCTGGTCTCTTGTCTACATTCACTCTCTTGCCCACGTACTGGCCTCCTGACAGAAGTCTGTTTATCAAAGCCAGCTAGTTCTTTTAAAAGTTCTCCTCTTCTCCCTGCGCTCTGCTTCATTTCCCCCTTCTTTCAGAGATTTGTCCATGATCTCTTTCAAGCGGAGGTCTTCCTTTAGAAAATCTTCAGAGAATTTGGGGTTGTGGACTTTGTTGTCTCTTTTGCTGAAGTAACTGCATTGGTGAGAGGCTGTGAAACTCTTTGGTCTGACCCATGGTTGCAGCAGTCGTCCATTCTTCTGCTCTGGTCGCTTAGTATGTGCTCTGCATCCTAAAGCCCTCAGGCTCCCGTGATGTTGCGTACTACAGAGAATTTGGACAAGAAAAGAAATAAAGAGTAGCTCTAGGTGAGAAAGCTCCATTAACAGAATAGTTCAGCACATGGTAACCCTCTCTCTAAGTGACACACTAGCCCTCAAGGAAAACCAAATGTATTTTACAGGCAGATTTTAATCAGTGAAAAGCTGACATCTTTGGAAAGTGAGAAATGCCAAAATCCATGTAAATCTGATCAATGACCGAGGTAAATAGACTTTTCTCTTAATTGGCAGCTTTTTTAAAGCAGGTTTTGGTTTGTTTTTTAAACATCAGGTTTCTGTGTTGCTTCTGTCACCATTTAGGCCTCAATTCTGCAAAACACGTAAGTGTATTGCAATTAAACAGATTTTCTTCACAAAACAGGGGTAGTTTCTAGCACCACAGAGGTGGAGCTAAAATGTCACTTAAATGAGTTTTGAATGGGCAATGTGCTTCCCATTTACCGGACGCATGCAGAACCCAGCAAATTAATCATATCACAGTGTACGTAGCACCTCTCAAGCCTCCGCTCCCTCCGCATCTCCCTTGCAGAGTTGAGGATAAAACAGGCGGCTTTTTCAGAACACACCTCCCAGCTAATGACATGGTCCCGCTAAAGAGGCTCCTCTGGGTTACACCAATGCAAAAACCGCGCTAGCTTTTTCGTGGCACGTCACGCTTCACCCCTTGTCACCCCTTGGCAATGCTGCAGCAACGGCAGAGGATCTTGGTGTGAACTAGGCGGTGGCAGAGCGGCTGGGAGGACACCGACCCTCCGGGCAGCTGTGCCAGCTTAAGCTGACTGCGAATCTCTCATGAGGCTGCAGCTGGGAATTGCCACTGCAGCAACTAGTGACCCTACAGCTGGCTTCAAAGAAGCACGGGTGGTAACAGCCTGTGCAGCAGCACAGCAACCTGGTCTAGTGGAAGATGTTCCTGCTCATGGCAGGGGGGTTGGAACCAGAGGGTCTTTAAGGTCCCTTCCAACCCAAACCATTCTATGATTCTGTGATTCGTGCCTGTGCTGAAGGATGTGCTCAGTCAATGCAGACAAATGTCCGACGCCACAGCAGACCACTGGGCAGGTGAGATGTTGCTTTGACCCTTGCTTTTCATATATACCTCCTGTGACTCAAGATGATTAGTGGGGCTTTAGAAAGGTCTTCATGAGTGCTGATCTCTGTATTAGTGAATTTTTTTCAGCTGCAGCTACAGTTGTTTGGTTGCCTTTATATCACTTTGGCCTTCTAGATTAAGACAGGATGGACGGAATGCTGTTTAGATTCCAACAATGTCTGTAGCCCACAACACTACAGTTTAGGAGCACAATTCTCGTAGGCCTATGTGAAACACTTACCAAATCGTCATAATCCCTCTCTGGAAAACGACCTCTGTTTGCAGGATGCATCTCATATGGGTTGTGAGGCTGATATCCTGGGTTCACATGGCCAGAAGTGGTCTGAACTCTGGGGAACATTGAGGGCTGTGTATCATCAGAGGTATTTGGGTTGGAATATCCTGACTTTATCAGGCTCTTCTTCCCTGGATCTTGTCTGCGTTTGGCTCTTCAGAGGAAATGGAAGAATAAAGGAGGTTTTGAAAGGCCTTTTAGTGTGCCTTATGTATTAAGTAAGTCCAACTTACTGAGTTGTCCACTCCCACCTTATTTTGAATGCTCAGTCCTGTTCCGAAACACGTAACAGATTTTTCTAGCATACCAATTGCAAAACCCTTGTTATCAATGATAGAGTACAAAGTTTGGCATCTCTTATCATAGGCAGGGCTAAGCTGCCAGGAGACACAGAGAGGGACTTTGGCCTCTTTCAGCTGGTTCCTAGAGTGAAGGAGTTTCCTCCACCACCACTAGCTCTAACTGGCAATTTAGAGGAAGAAATGAGGGATTCATTAGGCCTGGTTAATAAAAGTTGCCATCATGCCTGCAGCCAAAGCTGGACATTCACACAATGTATTTGGCTTGTCTGTGATCACAAGTCCATCCATCGCACACACACTCAACACCAGCTTGTGCACCTGCTGGTGAGCTATGCCTACTATGGGTGGTCTTGTAGGCATCTTTACCTGGGCATTGCTGAGAGCAAAGGCAGAGGAGCTGCTCGAGTGTTGCTATGTTTATTGTGTGGAGAGAAGTGAGGAGGTGCAACTGGAACTGGGAATTTGACAGTACACCAGGAATAGCAAAGTTTAAAGAGATGCTTGGCTGGAAAAGCCACCTGTATTGAGCTGAAATGGGCATGCCAGGCCTTGAGCTGAAGTTCTAGCAGGGAATGCTGCAGAGAATCTGAATTTGGGGCACACAGTCTTCTGATATCAGCATCTTCCTTCAGTCTCATCCACATGCCTTATCAGTACTGGCTAGGGCAGGATTAGGATTAATGAGTCAGGTGTGTATTTTGAAAGACTTGGCTGAAGCTTTCATGGCCAGATTCACAGCAAGAGAATAAATAATTCTGGGAAGAGTGCACAGGCAAAACCGAATTCTAATGGCTACGTAACTTAAATAAACTCGGCATGCAAACACATTTGCAGCCCTGCCCCTCTCTAAATTTCTGCTTAGTTCTCTAGGAATATGTAGCAATGCAACTTCTATTCAATTTTCAGAAATACTCTTACCTTACTGAAACAACAGAGACTGCTATCACTAAACTCAGGATAATTGCTCCAAACACTGTACCCACTATTATAAGGATGAGTTCACTATCTGGGAAAAAGAAAACCACACAAAAGAAACAAGAAACAGCAATTTAAAAATCAAGGTAAATATTGCAAAACAGGGGGGAAGGGAGGAAGGGAGGAAGGGAGGAAGGGAGGAAGGGAGGAAGGGAGGAAGGGAGGAAGGGAGGAAGTTATTCATCGTGGTGCTGTCTCAGTACAACTGGCTGTGGACACAGAAAGATGTAAATGAGGGAACTGATCTGCATTAAAGACCATCTCTTCTAGATGGCGATTTTGATCCCAGCTCAGGTTCCTAATTCCATGCACTGAACGCCTTCACACATGGTTGCTCCAGTACAGCTGAGTGACAGGAGCAACTGGGAGCGCACGGAGGTTGCTTAAACTAGTGTTGCTGTTAAAATATGTAGTTTGGTGTCAAATGGGCTGTTCCCATGCCCCAGGCAAATAAGGCACACCGATTTGGGAAGTCTGCTATGTGGTACTACAAACACTGCATAAATACCCCCTATCTGAATAAATGTTTGGCAAGGAAAAGTTATTTTCACTGATCTTGCTGCAGAACCAGCATGACTAAGGGAGAAGGACATGGATTCTGTATATCTTCCTTCAGCTGTGAATGGAATTGCTACTGACATCTAGTCTTAGCTCTGCATAGCCATGGCGAGGGGAAAAAAAAAAAGGGGAGAATTGTGTTCTGCAGGGCATAATTTCTAGACAACAGTGTGAAGAGTAAGCCAGCGTCTTGAGCTACCCAACCTTACGTGTGTTACCTACTTGAAGGTCCCAGTTTGTATTTATGCGTTTGCCATTTAGTACACTGAATGTCTATACTGGAGATACACAACATGAAAACACCAGCTGTGCCATTACCAGCAGAACGATCCAGCGCATTGAATCATAGGAGCATACAGTGAGACAACAGCGAATATGATTTCTCAAAAGAACGTTGTGCCAAACACGTGTAAAGTCTCCTTGGTTATTGTTCAGCAAAGTACCCACCAAGTGCCATACGGAGAAAATGAGGCTATTAATGGATTTCATTATTAGCAGGTCAAATTCATGTTTAAATTCACAATGTGTTGATTTTGTGCCAATTTAGCATTTCCATTTGCTTTATGAAATAGGCCTTAAAATTCCAAAAATTTTCTCAAGAAAAATATGTTCCATGTGATGAAAAATATGCTTTCTGCCAAACATTTACACATGGCAAGATTCTCTGGGCTGCATTATAACTACCATTAGCCAATATCCAAAACTTTTAGGCAAAACTAGAAGAAAACCCTTGAAAATCTCATAGCTACAGACACAGGTATGTTAAACGTGTAAGTTTAAGAATGCAGCAGTGTGAGGTTCCAAAGGGCCACATGAGGATATACCTTTTGCTCAAATAAAGCCAAAGTAGTTCTGAGAAGTGAATAACCGTAACTGCTCATTTTTCAACCTGCCTTTAACTGTATTAGATGTTCTGAGTTTAGACACGTGCAAACACTGGAAGGCATGAAGAATGTCCTCTCCTAACCTATATGACGGTGGAAGCTGGAGAAGGTGCAGCAAACAGCTGCAAAACTGACTCAAAAAGAGAATAACCTTTGGAAGGCCAGTCTGGTTAGCTTGTCCAGACAATTACAGCTATAAGACAGTCGGTGCCATCATCTCTTCACCACTGTAGAATACTAGATACTATGCAGCGCTTGCTTGCAAGGTAAAGCACAAACAAGAACCAGTGGTTGGATATTAAAGCAGAAATATTTCAAATGTGAGTAATCTGCTGAAGTTTTAATAGAAGGAGTGATTAATTACAGGAGGAACTAATCCATTAGTGGTGCTGAGTTCAGCATTACGTGCCTTTAGATGAGGAATAAATGGTTTTCTGCCAAATAACCTATGTTTGACTAAAAACTACTGGGCTTAATGCAGAGGTCATCAGAGGAAATGCTACTGTCTGTCTGAACATGACATTCAAGAAGGATTTTTCCCTCCAGGCAACAGTGGAATTTCTCTCATTTTTTTCTAACTTTTTCCCGGTACCAATACAGGATGGTGGCACCCCTAAAGGCTACTACTTGTTAGTTTTGTTATCTCAGGCAGATTAAATATTACTGGTTATTTTTCCATGCTGTAATTAAAGATCAGAAATTCTTTTACTTACTATTCGTGCAGTTCTCTCCAGAGTAGCCCACTGCACAACTATACGAGAGGAAAAAAAAAAGGAAGGAAAGAAAATACAATGTTGTTAAGCAGATGATCACAAAACAATAGTACATTTCCACATTTTATCAGCAATTTCTGTGCAAGGTGTGTTCATCACAGGTTTATTCTTTAATGCTATCTTAATATTGAACTGTTTAGTTTCATTGTTAGAGTAAAACAGTCTGAGATTTTCAGAATGATTGGTGAGCTGGGCACTCAAAGTTTCAGGTTCTCTGCCTGAAACATGTTAAAAAGGCCTAATTTCTCCAAAGAACTAAGCCATACATCTGTGAGCCCTCTGGAATTTCTACCCACTGCCTTTATCAAAAGCCTCAGTAAGGTCTATAAGTACTGGCAGCTCTTCCCGTACTAGTTTCTTGTATTTATAATATATTGACTTTACAGTAAGAAGTGTTCATTGTGTAGCAGCAATAACTACAAAAAGAGCTGAATTAATGGATATGGGGAGTAAGGTCCCTCTGCTTATCCATGGGAGCAGAGCACAACCAGTTACCTACTCTGCTTCACCAGCAAACAACACTGCTCTGTTCTGACCCTGAGCTGACAGAAATACCCACAGAGGGAAAACCAAGATGAAATAACATAGGTCTGAAAGTTATCAGGAAACAGAGTCCCCACTGATATCATGGAAACTTTCCAGGGATTTGAGGCAAGTTTTCCTCTAATATCTGTTGCTTACTACATGCTTCAGCATACCAGTTCACATGGCTCAATTACTTTGAAGGAATAGTTTATGTTTTTGTGGACAACCCACAAAATAAGCACGAAGTAGTTTATTCTCTTTGCTGACTCACAGATGAGCTTGGATCTCCCTGACTTTCCTTTGAGGTACTATGAGCGCACACCAACAGCTAACACCGAGCAGTTAAAATCCCATAACTTGTGACACCATGGAAATTTGTCCACCTTAGGCAGCTCTCTGATTCACATAGCTGCAGGCTGTTCTTCTAGATTGAGGGTGACCCTGTTTTAGATGGTCTTCTCCCCTAGCTTTGCCTAGAACATAGGAATGCAAGAAAAAGCTGAGTACTCACGATACACATGCTCCATTCTTCGGTTCAAAGTTAGGCTTGCATTTGCACGTTGGAATCCCATTTTCTTTTGCACAGTACTTGTTTTCTTCTGCAGAACAGTTATTGCAATCTATATTTTCAGAGAGAAAAGATACAGAGTGAATTGAAGATAGCCCCAAAAATCAACATTGGAGAAAATTCCCCCCTCTCTCCCATTTTTTTTCTTGCACTATAAACACAGAGAATTTTGTTGTGCTTCAAAGTACCAGAATGGATTTTCTAGAGCTAGACCTATGTAGAACAGAAACTGAAATACGAAAGTACAAAATTAGAAGTAAACGGCCTTTGTTCAAACTGTCCAGCCCCAGCAGAATGGAAATCTGGCTAGGCTGCATCTTACATAGGCAAGCAATGACCTGCAGTTTGATCTCACAGCAGATGATTTGTATTGCAACTGATACAAAAATGGATCAGATTTAGAGAAATTAGGGGCCACAAAGGGCTACACTGGATCACATTTCTCTGGCCTTTCTTATAGCCAGCTTTCACGATTTTATCAAGAGTGTTTGCAGTATTTGTGGTTTTTCTTAAAACCTCATGTCTTAGACTTTTTTCTGTAGTGTGAAAATTTTTGTTTTCATAAGAAGAAAATAAGCTACATCTCAGGGCTGTGGAGGATAGCTAAATATTTGATCAGGGTACTCATTAAGAGATTCAAAACCAGCAAGCAAATAAAACCACAACAATTAACAATTCCTAAAAATCACATAAACCGTTCTTCCCATAAAAACCTGTCTAAACACAGGTAATGCAACCCTAGAATGACCAACAAGGGACAGAGCTTTAACAGATCGTTGCAGTGCATCAGGAGACTTCCAGCTCTGTCAGCGTGCCCACAGCTGCCTCCAGGTAGCATGCAGAATTTATTCCCAAAATAAGTCCCAGCAGAGAAGGCTGTGAAGGCAAGATTCAACTTGTTCCATCCTTTACCTATTTAGGTTTCAGTTCTCACCAAGAATTTAACAATGCATTTAAGGAGTGACCCACTTACTGCTTTCAGTGATAATTTTGTCAGGCTTTAGTAGTTTATTCTACTGGAATAGAATTATGGATGTGTTCAAACTGAAACATGAGAACATGTTTCCATGGCTTTCTTAATAAGACAAACATTCCCTGATTTTCAGAGATCAGCACATTTGCAGAGTGCCATTTTCAAAAAGGGACTGAGAGAGGGAGCAACCAGGTCAGCCTTTCGGGGACAGATAAAGTAGGAAGGTTCTTACCTGAACAAGAATGAACATCCCATTCTGTCATTGAGTAATTGCTTTTGCATATGCATTTTGGAAACACATCTTCTTCACATACAGTGGTTTCAGCATCACATTTAAAAACAGCACAATAGGTGGTAGCTTCAAAAGAGAAACAGTCAGAAAGCAAACCCGAGTGCTTATAATTTCACAGAAAGCAGTGCACTTGCCCAGTAAATCATAAACCAACTATTTAGTAATTCTGAAAAAAACCCTTGGAAGTCCCTTTTTGGGGACATAATACTGCAGGCATTTGAACCAGCCCTTTTTTTTTTCCCTTGCTCTTTACCAGTTAAGGTCCTGCTTCCATCACATCTTCTGACCTTCTGTTTCTCAGCCTCTCACTGCCTCAAAATCTTCCTGCCGCCCAGTCCATGAAGAGGGAAATTCTACCCAAAAGTTCATACTCTGAACACTGACTTTGTGACTGACTTTAGAAAAACATACAGAAAAACACCAGCACTATTCCCTTAGTTTTTTCTACAACTGAACTGTGAAGCCCAGATCCCATACAGTCCTACATAGATATAAATGTTTACGGGCATGCAGCTCATTTCATGAGCAATATTAGTATGCTCTTTGTCCAGCATGGTGCTCTTTAGAACCATGTCCCAGTGGTGGGAACGGTTTACACACCTCGGTGGGTAGCATGCAGTAGAGGGATGTGATTGTAGGGGTGCTTAGTGAGGTCCCAGGTATTTTCTATTTCCCTCTCATGTTTAGGACTAGCACACAGGAAATGTCATGGTTGAGGTGGATACAGTCACCTTCAGAGACCAAACTTAGGCTATATGCCAATGGACTTCTAACTAGCTAAGCCTTTTGCGAAAGCTGATTTCAAAATAGGAGCACATGAAAAAAAAAGATAAAAAAAGAATCCATATTTTATTTGCAAAATCATTCTTCAAGCATTACACATGAGTAACGTGAGGCTTTACTGGTTTAGACCAATGAGTGACTTCGCTCAGTAGCTAATCAGTGAGGCCTCATGTCAATTACCATGGTTATTTATGGTAATAACTATAATCCTATTTTGCCAGTAAAATACTGGCTTATTCTCAGAAGAAAAATATATGTCTGTACATATTTCGTCCGGATTTTTCCAGCCACTTAACCCTCACAGGTTAAAATCAATATGCCATTGCTTACTTAGGTAAAAGGATTTTCCTTCTCTCCTTTACGCAGGAAGTAGAAAGCCTTAAAAACACAAAAGAGTCCAACACTGAATGGCGGAGTCTTCAAAATTACCAAAGACTGAACATTCAGCTGTTTAAAATCAACAAGTTGTGCTCTGATGGGCTTTACTACACACAGAAATGTTCTAACTAGCTTTGAAGATAGGAACCTCTGTTTGTACTGGTTATTTACATTCACAGTAAGGAAATACATACCTTCGTACTGAGAGACATAGGTCGATTCATTTGTTGCGTTATCTATTGCAGAAATAACTGTGTCATTGCTTATAGGTGAGTCGTTTGTAAACAGGTTTATCACTATTATGCTTATTGGATGAGAAGCTCTGCTTTCACTTTGAAGTCTGAAAAGTACAGAAAGCATCATTTTAAAGTCTTGTATAATCCATATGAATAGCAAGCTAGATGCAAAACCAGCAGATTTCTGCCAAACCTCCCTCTCTACCCTAGCTTCTTTCACCCCACAATGTAGACAGCTGCTATGACACCTGAAAATGAGTTCAAGTCTTGCTTAGGAATCCATTAATGGCCGTCTTTCCAATAGATCCAGATGTAAATAGGTAGCTGGTAAGCAAAGGCTGTTGGATTCACCACTAACTCCATAAGTCCTTTGTGTGCTGTTGGCATGCAACTCTTGGTTTTTTACTGGGCTAACCTCAACCCGGCTGCAGTGTGGAGGACCTCATCTAACTTTTACTTGCTCCAACAGTCTGTTTTGTTATCCAGGTACAACATGGAGAACCAATCCTGAAGCGTGGTGAGGATAATTCAGGGTATGACCGCTATGAATTCAGAAGGGTCTGTTTGCAATGTAGAGGTATCTATGCTACCTGCATGCCAGCTGGGTTGGGTTCAGCTGGAAGGCATTCTTCCTCCGGTGAGGTGGAGGACAGTCTGTGACTTCACAGACATATTGGAAACTTTAAAAATACAAAAAGAATGTCCTCCTCTAACAGGAGGCATACTGAACTGACCTCATCCCACATCCTTTCTTGAACTGAGTACTCCATGGGAACAGATTAAAATGGGGTGTGTGGGAAGCACGTATTGCACAAAAGACAACCTGGCACACTTACTGAATTTCCACGATGACAGTCTGTTTATAGTAGTCTGTGAAACTGCGGAAGGCATAGTCAAACTGTAAATGATAAATGAATTGGAGTCAAAGGCAAGCAGAAACATAGACCAAAATCACAGGAAGCACTGAGGCTTCAGCTGTAAAATTTTAATCCAGAACATGCTACTACAGGCACAAATAAAGTGAGCTGATCAGTCACATCCACCATGCAAGGTATTGCAGAAGTGGAGCGGTGGGGTGGTGCTGTAAAACAGGGAATGTAGGAGAGAAGGGGAGGGGTGGAGAGACTCGAGTGAGTGTCAAGGCAGTGCAACAGGGGGAGAAGCACGGCACTGATGAAAGCACTGGGGTTTGTATGGGGTCGGTAGAAAAGTCACTGCTCTCCCTCATCCCATGTGAAGCAGGGAACAACTGGTGGAGGCAGCTGCCTCCAACAGCCACACAAGCAGGAGGCACTGTCAGAAAAGGGTAAGATGTCTAAGTCAACCAAAATGAAAGATAAACTATCCTTTGCAATAAAATAAAAATTGTTTTCTATGCTATTTTCTCTTTTGCATGCTATTAAATACCTATTCTAGTGCTGCATATCGTGCACTTCAGTAGCCATGTCATGAAAAAAAATTAGACAAAAAAATTGAGGAAAATATTTTTTAACATTCTGGAGGGACAATTTTTGTTTACTTTCTGAGAAAACATTCATAGGAAGCAAAATAATAGTAAGAAGAGTTTGATAACCATTTTTGATGAATTATGAATAATATTTTGTGAATATTTTTTGATCAGCTGTCTGGTAGAGTTGCATACTTCTTCCTTACTTCCAGAAAGTGACATAAACTAATCCACTTGTTTCAGCATGGCAGTATAAATTAAACTGTTCATCTTATTTCTCCAGGAAATCCATTACAAGATTTTATCTATGATCATAGAACGCTCAAAATGTGTAATATCCATTTCACTAATAATATTAAAATACTAATAGTGGTGTGCTTATGGAAGAGGCTTATGAGTTAGGTAGTTAGACACAGCTAGACAACCATTCTGAAAAGTTTCTGCTGTATGGAAACCATAGCTTGCTTTCAAAAAAATTTAAACTGCTCATTTTTACTCATACCACTGAGTATTACTGAGCCCTCAGCAAACAGTGAAGATCAGAAACTAAATGGGTTGGAAAACTTACAGAGCAATTTATGTGAGAACTTCCCAGAATAGAAGTGGCATTACAAATGCAGATACTGTTTATTTCAGGTACATCCCTTCACTTCAGCAAGAGCCATTCATGTACTCAGCTGAGGGCAAAATTCAAGTGTTTTATGAATACATCTAAAACAGTGTGAAGCATTCTTTGAAAGAATTAGATTTCTCAAGTGAAGCTATTCTAGGCTCTACATTAAAGGCAGCATGTATCCCCTCTGTCTGCCTGACATTCTGGAAAGTATTAAATATACAGAAAAGGTTTAAAAAAAGGTCACTCACAAACTTCGTTACATTTTGGAACACCTCTTCGTACTCCACAGAATTTACAGTTTGAACACTATTACTGTAAGATTCACTCAGTGTAATGACCCCTGGGAATATTTTCGCTGGAATAAGAACAGAGAATATTAATTAATTAGAAGGCATTCAAGTACATCTAGTTTCACTTTAGAGTTCTGCAGCCTTCAGAGATGGGGAAATACAATGTAGAATCGATCAGTGTTATTTTTCATATACTGGAGGAATCAGTAGGGGACAAATGTTCGTTCAATCAATTCAGCCACAATGAGGAACGTACTCTGGCTACCGGGGAAGCAGGCAGGATCCTGGGCTCGATCAAACTGGCCAGGCTATGAAACTGAATAACATTAAACTGTAAGCACAGCCTGAAGCTAACAGATGACTCCATGTGAGGGGTTACAGCATTCAGTGAGACCATGCCTATATTAAGGACTTCATCTGCGCAGTCACAGCCACTAAGCAGCTAACGTGGCTCACCATATCTGAGAAAGTGATTCAGTATCTGCCTGCTTTTTTAGGCTCACAAGCAAAATTGAGAATCCTGCCTCTTGGCACTTAAGTAAGTCCCATTTTCTCACACGGTTAGCCTTCAGCAGCATCTCAGAGACACAATTCAACAGGAATGTGAGGAGGGTTTACCAGTAAGGAAAACCAAGCCTGTTGTTCAGAGGTCTTCACGGGCTTGGGCCTTTTTATATCCTGGCCATAAATATTGATGTCAGATTTACATTTGTATTTTTTTCCTGCTTTTCACTCATTTAAATCTCAGGCATCCCTGACAGAGAACTCACCTTCTTTTCCTAGCACATTAACCTCTTTGGCAGTTACTGTTTTGTGAGATAACAATCTAGGTGACTGTAGCAGTGGCTGTCTGCAAAGCCTGGCATTATTCAGCAGTCACTTTCCCAAGACTGATTGTTTTCATTTATAATGTGAGAACAAGGGATATGAGAAGAAAAAATTGCTTGAGCAGCTATCTGTGAAGTAACTAAAAATATAGATTGCCCTTCTGCAACTCACCGCTGTGACAATCCTTGTCGCTATAGTAGTATCCATATGGGCACAGGCAGGTGTAAGTGCTATATAAAGCAACACATTCAACCAAATTTCTTCCACAAGGATTCGAGCTGCAGAAGTCCCCTGATACAAAGATGTAAGATATCGATGTAAGATGTAAGATATGAAATTGCAATAGCCAGTTCATGTATAAAGTAGTTCATATATTAAATACTTCATGTATACTTCTACTAAAGGAAACTACTAGGTATTTTTTATAGAGTGTAGATACAATTAAAGACCACATGACTATGTCTTGCTGGCTTACTATCTGTATAGTAACTGTTTTCCCTACTAAATCCAGCAGGATATAACAGTAGAGGACACAGAGTAAGACTGAAATTCACAATCTGTCATGCCAAGCACTCACAATCTAACTCTGCTTAATACAACTAAAACCAAACCATACAAAAAAGTCTATTGAGGGTTGCCAAAATCAGTGACTAAATTAGAAAATGGCAGACTACAATCGCCTGTGCGTCTTTAATGCTGCACTGGTATGTACTTGCCTTATTATAAGACAGTGTCATGGTAGGGTCCTTTACTGCAAATGCATTAATAACATGAAGGCTACCATGTTAATCATCATTCTATACATACCACAACAGATATGTGAGTATGCTGCTAAGGAATTTGTTGCAGGTTTACAGCTATCACCATAATAAGACTAAATATATTAACTGGCCACTATACCATACAGCAGTAAAACTTCATTGATTTGCGCTGACTGCTGCCTTCTACTTACTTGCTGGAGTAGTTGCTGAAGATGAGGTTGTGTTCATTCTTGGAAAAGGGAAAATGTCTAAATATGTCAGCCCTGTTAGTGCCTTGACTACAGTGGGACCATCGAAGGCAGCATGGTATGATGCCTCAAAACCTTTCCCAAACCTGCTTCTACCATGCCCTGTACTCTAGCCAGTGCCTTGCACAGCAATAAGGAGAAAACTCATAAAAAGATGAGATAGCAAATCTACCAGAAGAAAGAAATTTAGGGAGCAGAAGGACATTAGAATAACTTCAAATATATTTTAAATTTAAATTTTTATATGGTACACTTTTCACCTAAAATGGTAGCAGTTATACTTTCTCTAAGTAATTACACATTCTGAAAGGATTTGGAAGTATGTATTTCAAATCTATACATAATTTATTAGTTTATAAGTAATTAAAAGTTATGTAGTAATACACACTATATATAGGATGACAATTACAGTTCTCTTCAAGTCATCAAATTCTAATTTTCATCCTTCCTGCTTTCTATCACTTAACTCCATAGGTACATTCACATAGATGAGGTAGAGATTTTATGTGCAATGCAGAAAAATACAGTAGCTCTGTTTCAGCCCCCCAAAAATGGAAAGGAAAACACGTAACAAAGTTTCATTGGCTAGAGGAATCATCTCCAGATATTGTGTTTCCAGAGCTCCTACTAAAGCCAAATTCTGTATCAGAAGGCAAAACCCCAAGCAGAAAGAACAGTGCTTGTGAAATCTTACCCAACACTTTCCCAATATAGCAAAGGCCAGCAGGGCAGAGGGAAGAGTGGAGAGGATTCACAGCCTTGACCTGGCACCTTTGTCTCCCCTGGGAGAGGAACTCGGGGAAACCTGGCCAGGGGAACTCGTCCCTGCCTATTGGGGCTGCAGAGCTCCCTGCGATGGTTGACCCCAACCTCTCCTCATAAGGGGATGACTGAGGGCTTTTGCTCCTTACCTGCAGCCGGTGTCGCTGTCGAATTTGAGGCACTGTCTGGTTTAGTGTTGTCTCCTGAGGAAGGGAAAAGAGGAGAGATGGCAGCACTGATTGTCACTGAGTGGAGGAGAAGCCTTGGGGAAATCTGTGTGTGCAGGACAGCCTCTGGGCAGGTAGGTGGGGGGCCTGCGTGGGGCTGAGCAGCCACAGCCCAGGCAACCCTGTCCTCTGCCTCTGGGCTCTTCCTGCCTCTGATGCTTGTGTAGTCTGGTGTGTCCATGGCCACTTCTCCCCCATACCAAGCAGCAAAGCATGTGACCCCCACGGCAGTGTATTGCCCCCAGCTCAGCTGCACTCGCTGGCCATGGCCGGCTCAGCCACATGTCTTCCTGCAGGAACGCTCCCTCCTCCTGCCTAAGGCAGCACCGCAGTTCGGACCGGCTGACAGAGAAGGCTGAGGCAGCCATCAGCCCCTGAACATGCTCCCCATGATGGCCGGCTCAGCCACATGTCTTCCTGCAGGAACGCTCCCTCCTCCTGCCTAAGGCAGCACCGCAGTTCGGACCGGCTGACAGAGAAGGCTGAGGCAGCCATCAGCCCCTGAACATGCTCCCCATGATGGCCTGATTGGTGACACTGTCTTGGGAGGACAGGCAGCAGCACCCCCCATGGCAAGGATGTGTGAAACAGATGAGGGTCTTGGGGTCAGACTGAGGAGGCAACAGCACCAAGAAGAATGGGACTGAGTTGCTGAATTCATCACAAACACTTTGCCCTTGCAGCAAAGACCAGGAGGGTCAGAGAAAGAAGGCACGACAGGGCATGCAGACTTCATGTGGGGCTGTGCTTCTACCCCAGGAGAGCAACTCGGGGAAACCTGGCCAGGGGAACTCGTCCCTGCCTATTGGGGCTGCAGAGCTCCCTACAATGAGTGACCCCAACCTCTCCTCATAAGAGGATGACCGAGGGCTTTTGCTCCTTACCTGCAGTCGACGTGTCTGTCCAACTGGATAGGGTCACTGTGTCAGAGGCGGTTCCTGAGGA